AAACAGGTAAATCCTATAACAAAGTCCATGAAAAATACCCCAGTAAAATAGCATTATTCTCCCTACCGTACATAGATAGGAGACACATCACTACCATAATACGGATGAAAACCGGTCATTGTCATACTAAAGAACATCAGTACAAGTTAGGAATAGTTGATCACCCATACTGTGAATGCGGTCTAGTAGAAAACGTAAACCATATTTTCCTGGAATGCCCTATCAATGTTATCCCTAACAGAGATATTTTGAACTTATTAAACATGGTATTAATTCCCCCTTTAACATATTTCAAGTTTTTCGTAATCTGAATATACAAATCACAAAGATTCTTATCCAATTTTTAGATTACAATAAAATCAAACTATAAACCTTTAATAAACTGAATTCCTATACTTAAACTCCACCATATATCCCAGAACATTTTGTTTGTGTATCTTTGTCAATCCCTAACATTCTCATAGCACGAGAAGAAGTAGACAAACAAACACTAAGAAGTCGACAGCATGATTCAGAATTAAAATATAAGGGTTGTTACTGAGTGCTAACCCAGACAAGGACAACCCCCCGTATTGAGCTGGCCCCAATTGCACCTAAACAGGAAGCATCGGCCAATAAAAAAAGAGAGAGAGAGAGATGTTTAAGTGAGTCAATCTGAAACTGACGTTGTTGTAGGATAGACTAGTAAATATATAAAGTAGGTTAGACTAATAAATATTATAAAGTAGGTGGTGTTATAAGTGATTTCATCGTCGGTAGCCAGTGAGGCATTCCTAACATCTCAGAAGAGGGATCTACGTCGTTTTTTTTTCTTATGCTCCACGTTAAAGGTTTGAAGATGGCAGGACGGCGATCAACAAAATGCCGTAGGAGGTAGAGTTCTTCAGAATCTTCATCAAGTTCTGAAGATCCGTCTAGCAGCAGTGAACCCAAACGACGAGCTCATAGAGAGAAATCGGGTAAATGTAAAGGTCGGAGATCCAGGGTAAGAAGCACCTATTTTGATTTTTGTGAAACAGGTGAGTCGAAAAATGTTTCTACAATTTCTGTTCTTGACCCAAAGTCTGATTCGGTTAGAGACTGGTTGAGTATTGTGGATCAACATGCATCATGTTTTAAATGGGACGATAATACAACAAAAACTATTGCTTTGAGTAAACTTGGAAATACTGCATCACAATGGTTTCAAACTTATATTCAAACGGAAATCGGTTGGGTGAATTATTCGAGGGCTAAATGGAAAAACATTCTTTCTACCACTTTTCAGTCGGTTAGGAACACCCATTTTTTTATGGAAGTTGCGAATCACAAGCCATTTGAGGGGGAATCATTGTACAGTTTTCATTTCGATCACCTAGCTAAAATAGAAGCATTGAAAGCGAATTTTTCAGACGCTGATAAAGTGTCACTCATTGTTGGCGCAATCGGGGATGACACGGTTGCGTCGGCTGTGAGAGCAGCTAATATTACAGATCTCAATCTCCTAGCAAGTTATTTGAGGGACAGAACATATGCTGAGTCAGGGCCAAGTCACAAACAAATATATAACAATACTTCAAATATCAAATTAGAACAGTCAAAACCTGCTGAGAAGAATGATAAAAATTTAAAAATACAAAGCACTCAAATTTAATGTTTTTATTGTAATAAACGGGGACACAAAAGAAGCGAGTGTAGAAGTTATAATATAAGGAAGTGCAATTTTTGTCATAGAAAAGGTCATATAGAAGCCGATTGTTACAAAAAAGACAGACCGAGGTAAAATCATAGAAGTTCATAGAAAAAACACAAAAAATCAATGTGATTGAGAGTTCCAATGAATATAAATTCTATCAAAAAATTAAAATCAATGACACTTCCCTTTTCGCTTTTATTGATTTTGGTAGTGACTGTTCTATTTTGGAACATGAATTGTCACAGGAGCTTGGACTAAAAGTGTGCAAACTATCAGTTCCCTGCATTATTTAGGGATTAAAACTAAATTCATGATTAGGAGTTGAAGTTGGGGATTAAACCAACCGGCAAGGATAACTCAGGGATTAAACTGAGTTACAAAAAAAACAGTCATAATTTAGGGATTGAACTAAATTCATGACTGGGAGTTGAAGTTGGGGATTAAATCAACAGTCACATACAAAAGTTGGGGATTGAACCAACAGGCATGAATAACATAGGGAATAAACTAAGTTATGACACATACACACATATACAAATTACATTGTTTTTATAGGTTTTCATTGGAACGTTTGTTACAGATTGTCCTGATGGGTGTTTGAACCCATTTGAGGCCAAATGGGGTAGCAGGATGGCCGAATGTTAGGAAGGGCGTTAGGATTAGTGTTTTGTACAGCCCTGGACATTATCTTGTTGGGAGTACTGGATGGGACAGCCCTGAAGGTCACCTGATAGATTTACATAAGAGGATGATACATTCCTTTGTGTGAAAAATATGCTTAAGTGAGTCAGTCTGAAATTGACGTTGTTGTTGGATAGACTAATATATATTATAAAGTTATAAAGTAGGTGGTGTTATAAGGGTTTTCATCGTTGGTAGCCAGTGAAGCATTCCTAACATATGTGTCTGTTTGTGAAAACTGAACTAGTCGCAAGCAAGTCAGTTTGGTGAAAATCCGCCCTAATATGCGACCTCGCAAAACCTCAGAGATGTTTCTTGGGTTAATATATGTTTCAAACATTGACTAATTACTTTCTTGGCTTCGTGTTTGAGTTACCCATATTCCATCTACTCAATCCATTATTCACTTTGGTTTTCAGAATTCGTGACAATACTGAAACGGGTATAACTATTTTGCAGGTCTGCAGGTCAGCAAATTGTTCTCAGTAGACATTGATCTCGTAATCTTGTAGGAGGACAAAAATTTTTGGAGGTCGGGTCTGCCAGACATGAATCTCGACCAGGTTAATCATTTTCAACACAAAAATTTTCCCACCCCCACCCAAAAATTTCACAATTCTCAAAAAATTGGAAATAAATTTTGCAGGTCGGCGGAAATTCTGGCAGGTCGGGTCTGCGAAACATGAATTTCGACCAGGTTGATCATTTTCGACAAAAAAAATGTCAACCTCCACCCTTTGAGTATGGAAAAATTCCACATTCCTCATTAAATTTAAAGTAAACCTTGCAGGACGGCAGAAATTCTTGCAGGTCGGGTATGCGAAACATGATCTCAACCAAGTTAATTATTTTCAACAAACAAATGTCAACCCCCATCCTGTAAGTATGGAAAAATTCCACATTCCTCATTAAATTGAAAGCAAACCTTGCAGGTCGGCAGAAATTCTTGCAGGTCGGGTATGCAAAACATGAATCTTGACCAGGTTAATCATTTTCGACAAAAAAATCTCAACACCCACCCTTTGAGTATGGAAAAATTCTTGCAGTTCAGGTATGCCAAACATGAATGTCGACCAGGTTGATCATTTTCGACCAAAAATTTTCCAACCCCCACCCAAAATTTCACAATTTTCAAAAAATTGGAAATAAATTTTGCCGGTCCTGTCGTTACTTCTTTTGTAAATTGTTTCGATTTCTTCAAAATATAATTCAGACAACCCAATAAATTCAACAGGTAGGTACCCTAACACAATGAAAATTCGTACTTCTTGGTTATGGAAATTTCTGCTGTAATCCTTCTTTCAAGGTTTATTTATCTCTAATGAATTATAATTCGTAATATTTTTATAATTCTCTATCCTGGAAGTAACGAAAATATTAGTTTTTGGTAAAAATTCGATTGTTTTATAATTTGGTATGATCAAATAGGTAGCATCTCAATTCATTAACCATCTTAAAGGCGTAGATGTGGAATTTTTCCATACTCATAGGGTGGGGGTTGAAATTTTTGTCGAGATTCGTGTTTGTCATACCCGACCTGCAAGAATTTCCTACCTGCAAAATGTATTTCCAATTTTTTGAGAATTGTGAAATTTTTGGGTGCGGGGGTTGGAAAATGTTTCTATCGAAAATGATTAATCTGGTCAAGATTCATGTTTGGCATACCCGACTTGCAAAAATTTCTACCGACCTGCAAGGTTTATTTTCAATTTATTGAGGAATGTGGAATTTTTTCACACTCAAAGGGTGGCGGTTGAAATTTTTTTCTCAAAAATGATCAATCTGGTCAAAATTCATGTTTAGCATACCCGACCTGCAAGCATTTTCGCCGACCTGCAAAATTTATTTTCAATTTTTTGAGAATTGTGAAATTTTTGGGTGGGGGGATTGGAAAATTTTTCTGTCGAAAATGAATAACCCGGTCAAGATTCATGTTTGGCATTCCCGACCTGTAAAAATTTCTGCCGACCTGCAAGGTTTATTTTCAATTTATTGAGGAATGTGGAATTTTTCCATACTCAAAGGGCGGGGGTTGAAATTTTTTTGGTCGAAAATGGTTAACCTGGTCAAGATTCATGTTTGGCATACCCGACCTGCAAACATTTCTGCCGACCTGTACGGTTTATTTTCAATTTATTGAGGAATGTGGAATTTTTCCATACTCAAAGGGTGGGGGGTTGAAATTTTTTTTTGTCAAAAATGATGAACATGATCGACATTCATGTCTGGCAGACCCGACCTGCAAGAATTTCCGCAGACCTACAAAATTAATTTCCAATTTTTTAAGAATTGTGAAATTTTTGGGTGGGGGTTGGAAAATTTTTCTGTTGAAAATGGTTAACCTGGTCGAGATTCATGTCTGGCAGACCCGATCTGCCAAAACTGCTGTCCTCCTACAAGATTACCAGAGCAATGTCTACTGAGAACAATTTGCTGACCTGCAGACCTGCAAAATAGTTATACCCTATCGAAACATATATGTTAGAAAAACCACATAACCGTGCATGCACGGTTATCTCAATGAGTCTTCAAACATCATACTTCAATTCGTCAACCGTTCTTACAACTGCCCTGTATTAACAGTTGCCTAGTAAATAATACAAGGATTCAAAAACATAATACATTACCACAGAATATTGGAACTGTGACATAACCTTGAATTTTTGTTATTAACCTTATATCAACACAAAATATGTGTTACTACCAGGTTTTTTCAATGAAAATGACTACAAATTGATAATTATAGGTATTCTATATACTGTACCTTATCAGATTGAAATTGGCTTCGTTAAAATGAATGTATTTTTGAAACAGGTATTTGAGAACAGAGGAGTGTTAATGATTAGTCCTTACCATTACAATGGAAAATTCAAAAAGCAATATTCTTATAATAGAGCTGTTAATGAAGCTGAAAAAATTGTAGGATATCCAACATCATTTTTGAGGTTGAGATGGCTGTTAAATGATGAACTTGTCAATGTGGCTTTGCACATGAGAAAACTCATAGGAACCAATCATCCATTGGAACACTGCCAAGTAAGCTTCTAAATGTTCAACCAATATTTTTTCATAGTGATAATAAGATTATGAAAAAGACCTGAATGACAATATCAATTTTTTTTTCCAATTACCTACATATGAACTTAATAAAATTTCTGCTTCCTACATAAAAAAGAAGTTGAAATTTACATTTTATTTTCTGAATGTCCAAGCATATTGAGCATTGGGTTCAGATCTAAAAAAGGGCTCTGGATCTCAAATTGGCCAGGAATGTTGAAATAATACCTAATTATTTATGTATTTTTTATTTCAGAGAACTGATTTTGAATAAACAAACTCCAGCATGGGGTCTTATAGTATTATTGATTTCCAAAGCAGGGGGACTGAGTAGAGAATTCCTCCATGTGGAATGTGACATCACAGCAGGTATGTCATCTTCAGAATCACGAATTTATTGTTTTTGTAAGAGCTGCCTCTTTTGTCAACTAGAAAGTTATGGTCAAATTTATTTTTTTCTCTCAATTTAGGAAAATTTTAAAAGTTCCATTATGATTGAAAATGTAGATTTTCTTACTCAAGATGTTTTCATCCATTTTCAAACTAACTTGCAACATGGAAATAAGCGGGAAATCAATACTCCCTTTTCATAAAAAAGCAAAAGATTTGAGACAGTATGTTCGATTGGGAAGGGTTTATTTATTTGTTAAGTATTTCATAATAATGAATCCTCAGATTGATAGAAGTAGCAATAAGTGTGCATTTTTCAATATTTAAAAAATGCAATGTGCGAATAATATTTGTAATGACACAGGGGTAAACAATGAAATTGTTTGGTCAAATGTTTGAAAAACATATTCAAATGAGATCAGTGGATTACCATTTTTATTCAGAAAATAGTTATCCACTAAATCTAAATAATATGGAGTGTGTTTGATTCTCATACCGATAACTTTTTTTTTAATTAGGAGTACGTGACAAGGGGGCTCGAGGTTTGGGGCGGAGTTCCAAGGAGGCCCGAGGGGTGAGGCGGAGTACTAATGGGCCCGAGTTGTGGGGCGGTGTCCCAAGGGAGCCCACGCTCTTTGAATCCCTCCAATACTGATTCCATCCTTCTTTGCATCGCTTACGTCACACGTTTCTTTTCTCCACTCACGTTTGTCATGAAAATTGTAAAAAGTTTAGCTCCATAATACATGGGATTTTGAGCCAGGACCAAGCATGCTCATCTACTCAGTTGGCATATTGTTTTAGTTACTATAATTTTAAAGTAAAAATATAAATTACTAGCTGTTGCCTGCTCTTATATTAACGTAGGTACAGCCGAAGCTACTGAACCTATAATCTTGAAATATGCAGGTAGGTTCTTTGTATAGCGTAAATAAGCATCAAGAAAGGGAATCAGGAATTTCCACCAGCAAGGGAGAAAAATAGGGGTTCAAAGATTGTATTAAATTTCGTCAGTTTTGAAGTTTTGAGTTAATAAAAAAGGATTGTAACTATTTGTTACAATTTCTTGTATTTTAACCTATAAAAATATTCGCAGCAGGCCTTGGTTTTTGTAGAAAAAAAATGATATTTGGTCCCAAAATACAGTTTTTTGAGCTCTACAATTCAAAATATAGTTCTTCAAAATTGGAGAAAAAAATGCAAACATTAGGGAGGTGTCCCGTTTTCAAATAGGTCAGACTGTATGTGAATGGCTGATATATTTTGTATCAAATGAATCAATGAAAATACTCAGATGTCTCTCGTTTTGGATAAATTTGTTATACATCCAACCTGAATTCAATTTATTTCTTAGGAATTCTCCATAGTCAAAGAAATCTTGCTGAAATTACGGAAATGGTTCGTACCAGTAACATCATCCATAAAAGCATCCTCAATATATCCTCGAATGACAAAGACATTGATGACCTCAATTTTGGCAACAAACTGTCACTCTTAACAGGCGATTACCTTCTCAGCAGCAGTTGCAAAGAATTGGCTGAACTCAAATGTCATGATGTTAACGAACTCATATCCACATGTCTGAGAGATTTGGTTGAGGCTGATTTTATTGAACCAAGGGATAGGTAAAATTCACTAATTATGAATATGAAATAACTTCAAGCAAGAGAACAGTTTTTTCAAGGAAAAAACACAAGCATTACAGGAAAATCCTTGAGGCACTTTGAGAGAGGTGCCTGTGCGAAAGCAATGATTCACATTGATTCACATCTATAGAAGAGAGGCAATAAAAAACACAAGTCTGTATTAAATATTTCAAAGTTGAGAGTGACCCAAGTCGGATGACGCCCTGTATAAAAGTTATATGGAAATATTCTGTTAGTCAATAGAAATGCATCGGTACATTAAACATTTTCATTATTTCTGGGAATAAATTAGATACCGTCAAAAATATAATTTCATGTATTTTAGTTTTTCAATTACATTTCCAGTACCAAAATACTTCACTCAATTTTTTGTTATCAATCAATAGTATTTTGAAACTGGTAATTCTGCCACATTTCAATCAACTCGATTCCAAAATATTGTTGTCAATAGCATTTTGCACAATTTCTCTTTTCCAATATCAAAAATGTGAAAAAATAGTATAGAATATTTTATTGTGTTGAAGGTGAAATAGTTGTGCCCATTTTATACTATAAATTTCATGATACACAATTATTTATATTTGAGACAGTATGTTCGATTGGGAAGGGTTTATTTATTTGTTAAGTATTTTATAATAATGAATCCTCAAATTGATAGAAGTAGCAATAAGGGTGCATTTTTCAATATTTAAAAAATGCAATGTGCGAATAATATTTCTAATGACACAGGGGTAAACAATGAAGTTGTTTGGTCAAATGTTTGAAAAACATTATATTCAATTGAGATCAGTGGATTACCATTTTCTTCAGAAAATAGTGATCCACTAAATCTAAATAATATAGAGTGTGTTCGATTCTCATACCAATAACCTTTTTTTTAATTAGGAGTATGTGACAAGGGGTCCCGAGGGGTGAGGCGGAGTACAAGGGGGCCCACGCTCTTTGAATCGCTCCAATACTGATTCCATCCTTCTTTGCATCACTTACGTCACACGTTTATTTCCCCCACTCACGTTTGTCATGAAAATTGTAAAAAGTTTAGCTCCATAATACATGGGATTTTGAGCCAGGACCAAACTTGCTCATCTACTCAGTTGGCATATTGTTTTAGTTACTGTAATTTCAAAGTAAAAATATAAATTACTAGCTGTTGCCTGCTCTTATATTAACGTAGGTATAGCCGAAGCTACTGAACCAATAATCTTGAAATATGCAGGTAGGTTCTTTGTATAGCGTAAATAAGCATCAAGAAAGGGAATCGGAAATTTCCACCACCAAGGGAGAAAAATAGGGGTTCAAAGATTGTATTGAATTTCGTCAGTTTTGAAGTTAGAGANCTATTTATTTGGTCGGAATATGGCTCTAGGTTGGCAAGCCCGTGCTGATCTTTCGGCTTTCAATCCATTGAGAACAACGGAGCCCTTCAGTCTTATATGTGCTCCTCTGATGTTTCACCTTCAAGATAATCAGGAGTATTATCCGAAGCTTTTAAAAATGGTAGAAGAAAACGACATTGATTATAGAGAGCTAAGAAATGTTATTAGAACAGGACATGGTCTGGAAAAAACAGATAAAATGTTAAAGGAGCTTTCTGAAACTGCTCTGAAAGTTCTTGAAGAGTTTCCAGACAATAGTTCTCGGGATGCCCTTGTTAATATTATCAATTCCGCTTGAATAGTTATTATAATTCATTTCCTGTTAAGGCGAAACCCTTCGGGAAAGTATCTATAAAACAGTGGCAAATTTCTAACCTTTCTTTGATATTCCAGACTATCAAGGTTGCAAGTGATGTTCGTGTCTACAATCAGGTGGATGGCTCTTTTCTGGATGGAATCCTGGTTACTTTCACCCCAATGCGAAATCACTTTGAGATCCTCATTAAGATATGCAACCTCTTGCTGCTGGTGACGATGTGCATCCGCAGCTGACGTCCTGGAATCCAATAAACATATATATATAAACATATACAAGTAGTCTGGCAAATGACAGAAGAAAATATATATACATAAAAACAGAAAAAAAATTCCCTGTCATAATGACATCCACAATTACGCAACAAGATTCAGTCATCATCTTTACACACCCCAAAATCAGTTAAATATATGCCTGTATTGCCCTATTTCCAATGGAATTAGGGTTTACAATCACCTTTTGACAAAAATCTTAGTTCGTTATCTTACTTCAGATTCAGAAAAACGCAGAAAACATACTGGATAATTCGTATTATACAATGGAGTTCTTATCTTCATAGTGAACTCTCTTTGTTCCTTATAGCATTTTAAGATATTTATAAAATAATTGAATAATAGTTCCAAGTGAGCGTTATGAAATATAGTGCAGCCTAAAACGACAAGTATAAAATAAAAAAGTGTTCAAAATGTTTTCGCAAAAGGCCAAGAAGTAATTTTGTGTTGATCTAGGAAAATATAATAGGTATGTCACCAACTAAAATCTAACAAATGAAAGTTGAAGCCATTTCATTAATTTCACTTTTGCACTTATAAAATACTAGTACTATGTTGCTGTATCGCTGCTGTTCCAATGTTTTGACAGAATCAACGAACTTAGGCGTGCGCAACGTTATAGAATAGTGCTTTCAAAAAATTGTTCTACAGCGCCATCTAGTGGCGAGTAACAGAAAAATTAATAGCCTAAAAACCGTTCTATGAAAAATTACTCGTACATGTCGTTTCATCACGATTAGTTGAGCGATGTAGAAGTTTATCACTTACCAACCAACCAACATCCATTTTTATATATTAGATAAAAACGTTAAAGACATTGTTTGTGCCTCTTAGATTGTTATTTTAACTGGGAATGAATTTTTTTTGACAAATAAATAGCTTATTATTAGCAAAATTTAAGCACACCACTCTTTTTTGAGGTTTTCAGAAAAAATTATTATTAAACAAAAATTCATTCTGTCGTCATAAGTAGCAAACTCAACTCAAGTTGTAAATATATGTGCGGTATTTTAGCTACTATGTTACACCTGTTAAGAAACACTTAGTTCTAGGAGTGACGGTATTGCGGCTAAAGCTGTAGATTGTATGACGATAGGATTTCTCACGTATAATTTGGATAAATATTATTTGTTGGGATGTTTTAGCTAAGAAGCTTCTTTCAAGCTGAACTTCGAAAGAGTTTTGTGCTAGTGTCATTAATAGTCTTTTCCTGTTTTTAGCAAGATCAAAACTGAAGCACTAGGTTACGTGAATCTTCGTCTAAAACGAACCACTTTTCTTATTTTTTTCCAATAACCAATATTACACGACATTATTAGGTCAAATAAAACTGACAAATTATACTCCATTACATGACCTCTAAAATCAATGTCTGCTCATTCTTCTTAAATGCTGCATTTTATTATTGGCGACAGCAAATATATAACGGAAGCAATTTGATTTTATAACAGTTATTTTATTAAATAGAAAAGATTGAATTTTAAGCAGTGATTAATTTTTGGGAAAGAAAGTTTTTGGCTTTCTACTACTTCATCTTGATACAAAAAATGTGGAAATCTTCGAAGAAAAGAAGGAAGTAATCAATTTTAAAATAAGTAACTCTATACATGGATGTGTAGATCTTGCAAAGAAGCAACTTTCAGACACAAACTGGAAGAAAGCCCTCCTGAAACAGCTACTTTCATATAAACATTGAATTACACGAAAGAAAAATTCTTTCGAAACAAATACTTTTATATGAACACTGAATTATACACAAAACACTATTCTCCACTCAGTTTGTAGCCCAAACATTCGTTATGGAATAAAATCAGGAATCATTCACTGGAGTTCTACACTGAATGAATGGTAAAAAAAAGGCACTTACATCGAACAGTAGTTGGGTTTGTTATCCAGTAAAAAACTTTGTATTACATCTTTCCAAGGACCGTTATATAACATAGGATAGCCAGATCCCTATACCAGCAACGTTGTGCGGTATAGGGTATAGTGCGTTGTGCGTTGCGCGGACCCGTAGCCGTTGGAATATCGCGGTGTGTGACTGTGAACGCGATGAGACACGTTGTTTAAGTGACGGTTTTTGTGTTTATACTTCTTCGTGCATCTAGTAAATGAAAGAATTTTTTTTACAATAAACATGCCAGGACGTCGTTGCGCTGTTTTTGGTTGTAACAACTGCCGTGTGTCCACAAAACTTACCGGAAAAGACATTGTTTACCACAACTTTCCTAAAGC